CAAGCGTGCTAACCGCTTTCCAATCAGGAATGGCTAAGAAAAGAACAGTCTGTGAACAAAAGAAAAAAAAAGGTGCGGACAGTGTTAACTGAAATGAGAAAGTTCTAAGAAACGCCCGCACGGATGCGAAGCATATTTTGTTCGTATGACTAATGTATCGGGTAGAATAAAAAAAAAAATGAATGAAGATGTGGCCTTGAAATAGAGAAGCGCTTTCTTAGGCAAGATAATCACAAAGAATAAGTCGTCTTTGGCCGAATGATCAAATGGTTTCTCTTTATTTCCCTTCTGTCTTTCCTTAGTCTCTCGTTTTATTTTTAATTGTCAACAAAGGAACAAGATTTCTCTGGTCACCCATTTCGTAGCCAAACTGATATTTCTTTTATATATCTCGTGCGCATGATGTCGATTCAATCAATTGAAATAAGATAATTATTCATAGACTGGGTAATAATTTTGAAAGCCTTGAACCTGACGTTTAAAAGTTCGATATAAACGTAATTACTTTTTGTTATCCGAGAAAAATTGTTTTTGCTTTTTTTTTTTTTCATTATTATTAAAATAAACACTCCAGTTTCTTTATTCTTTAAATAGTAATACATTCGACTAATTATTTATAATTAGGACTTTTATTGCTTGGTTTTTCCATTTAACGATAAAATATATAAAGTGAAATTTATGACAGCCACAAATTCCTTTGTTATAACCTTTTGTTTTAATTACAAAATTACAGACGCGATATTATCCTTTTGTTGTACTAATGTATTTTTGTTAATTACTAGAAACGTTGACTGTAGGAAAATGGTGACAGGCATAAAAACAGAACGACTATTATTTTATAATGTACATGGAATATTCAGCCAGTGGATGTGCGAATAGTTGGTTTTGTTTAGAGATATATCAATTGTAGGGGTTATTTAATGCCGAAATCTGGTTTGGTTTGTTTTACATTATATCAACCTCAATGGGTTATTTAATGCCGACAAGATTTTTATTGCTGGTAATATTTTTTCAAAAATGTATTAAAACCTATTTTTACACTTTCATGGTATTTTGACCCCAGTTTGGGGATTAACTATTTGCCTATAGCTAGGACCCTAACAGGGGCTACCACCCCGGGTAAAAATGAACCTGGAACACCAGCAATTAAGAGATTGTTCCACGCTTTTTAAAAACCTCTTGATAAGAAGGCTTGCTCTCGGATGTAGCTTATCGTCTTACCCAGGACGGGCGACTAGTTGGTTGGTTTTGTTTAGCGATATATAAACTCTTAACGGTTATTTAATGCCGAAATCTGAATATTAAAATTCAAACGTTATAAAGAATGGCATTATTTCATGATTAAATTATAATAACAGCTTCATTTTTTTTTTTTTTTGCTTACCAAATAAAGTTACAAAATCAAACGAGGAATGAAAATATGTTTTTTACAAGAAATGGGAGTAATCATAGCATTTTTTGACTATATATACCAGGTCTTCAATTTTGCTATAAAAATATGTTAGTATTTTGTTTTTGTTTGTTTTTTTTTTTACGAATGTGTATTGCTAGTATATTTTTACTTTCCTAGTCTTTAGATTTGACTGATTCACTATTTGCCTATAACTAGAACCCTAACATGTGCGACCACCCCGGGTTGGGGTGGACTTGAGAATAACAGCTATTAACAAGCCTTGCTGTCGGATGTAGTTTATCGTCATACTCAGGACTAACACAAGTTAAAGAATTAATAGTTTTAAATGATAACCTTTCTATATTAATTACCAACAATAGCATAGGTTTATAACTAATATTTTTCAAATAAAAATTGTGTAGTCAAGACCCAGGACTATAAAAATATTCACAACTCATGAAAACTTACAAAGCTTTTCAACCAACGATTGGTGACTAAGCAGGCAATGAATTCCACCATATGTACCGAATGAACTCGGTCAAGATTTGCTTGTTATCCACACTTTATTATTGTTTGTTTTCTAATTTCCTATTTCGTCTTAATTCATTCAAAATAAACATTGCCGTGTGTTGCTATAGATAATTGTTCTGACAGATTTTAATAATGTCGTCATACAAGAGTGCACATATTGTATTTTTTGCCTTTTGTAAAAATAATGGTGGATCCAGTAAGTCAATTCAAGCAAACTAAACTTATTTACAACCAACTTTATTTGCATAACAGACAATCTTCATTGTGTGTTTGTAGGTGTACAATAGTACCAGTGTGACAAACGTAGAAGTATGTCATGGTGAAAGTGTAGATAATTTTTGACTTATCCTCGTATAAGTATCCCATCTTCACTTTTGTCTCGAGTACTAAGTGGAAATTTTGATTAACGACGCGTTTCGCCGGAGAAGCGTATGCTTTGTTTGGCTTCAGTTTAAAATGAAACAAACCCCAAACCGAAATCCTACAATATCAAACGGATCTAATACAGATATAAATAAAGCAAACAGACCGTGTCTGTCCACCTGTATGTTTGTTTGAGTCTGGACATTAGGAGGTGATAGGCTAGCGTAATTTGATTTATGATACCCACTTATTCCCAGAGGTCCCAAGGCATTTACCTCACACACACAGTTTCGACTTTCTTTAATGCTAAACTGAATAACCTAATGAGGGAATACGCTTCTCAGGCGAAATGCGTCGTTAATACTATTTTCCATTTTGGAGATTGTGAAGATGATGAAACGTTAAAAAAAAAAAAAAAAAAAGTCCGGATTTTGATCAAATAGAAATTATACACTAACAAGGAGAGTTAATTTGCTGAGAATTGCTTTACGTATGATTTTGAAGTTTTTGCGTGAGAAAGAAAAGGACTAAATTGTACGGAAGAAAAAAAATGTAACCGGTGCATTTCTTTTTTGTTTCGATTGGTGTTAGAACCGAAATAAAGGGCAGATAATCGACTGATTCTTTCTGTACAGTTTATCATTCTTCGCTTTCAAAACACTGTTATACCAATTTTTCTTTCTTGTCTGACCCCGGCCAGACGACGCAAAAATTCGAATTATATTTAGATTAATTTTCTTTTGCTTATTAATGTTAGGGTAAGGTAAATTATCAATCCTTGTTGGGTAATTAAATGTCAAAAATAGGTTTGTCATAGTTTCAATCCGAGGCATTTTATATTTTAGTCACCAACAAGAACACCTCCATAAATTCTTTGATGTTTATATAGCGCACAAACCCCAAAAACTCACACCAATGAAAAGATAATATAAAAAAAATGGAAAATCCAGAAGTATAAGCAGTCAATTAGTAATACTCGCTGACGAGTGGGCGGTGTGATTACCAGAGAGCCCGTCTACGAAACATGCAATCGGGATGCTGAAGGTAACATCAATCAGCTAACTGACAAACTTTTGACTTATGGACAAATTATTTTATATTAATTTTGTGCGTGCGCGGGGGCGTTGTTGTTTTGTTTTTGTTTTTGTTGACTCCACAGTATAGTAGGCTCCATTGGGCACTGTCTGTGGGAAAAGCAGCGTCATGAAGCAACTCACTCCACCAGTAATTTGGAAACTGGATGCTGTACTGCTTGGCATTCGCGCCGGAAGCTCCAAGAGGAACATTTCGGAATGTTTGGGTTTCAATCTGAACAGTGCAGAGGATTCAGAAAGAGTTTGATTAGTCTAATGGTGATTACGAAGGAATTTGGATTGATCACTAGTGATGGCGACGTTATGCCTTTATCTTCCCACAGTGCCTCAGACTCGACACGGAGGCTTACATCAAGTGCCATGAGGAGGTAGTGCTGCACTGGATCAAGCGGGTGTCTGTTGGGGGACCTTATGTCTGGCAACAAGACTGTGCCATAACGCACAAGCAGGAGAAGCAAGTCAAGTTTCTGCGACCACATAACTCCCCAGACTGCACCCCCTTGATTATTATATCTGGGGCGCAGTTAAGTGAAAGACAAACAAAAATCCTTGTAGCACCAAAGATAAACTGAAGGCAAGAATTATGACAGTATTCACCAACTTAAAGACACCATCCAGAAGAGTGGCAGGAGATTCCGAAATCGTTTGGAGGCTGGGGTTGAAGTCAATGGTGATTTTATTGAATAAATCTACTCTTTTAGTATTTCAAGATATTTTTGTGTATTTTTGGTAAATACGTCAGTTAAAATGAGTTGTCAGTGTTATTTTCATTTTTGCGTAATTTAGACGACAATTTATCAATCTCACCATATATAATTTCTGTGTGTCAATGATTATATTAACGGTTTTGGGGATAAATATAAATTATATAACAATGATTTTCCAGATATATCTTGCCTAAAGATAACTATTGGTTTAGTTTGTTTTACGGCATATCAACCTCAATGGGTCATTTAATGCCGACAACTTTGTTTTTGTTTTGTTTTTTTGTTTGTCAAATTTATATCTTAATATTTTTTCCATCAAAAATCTATAGCTGGTAATATTTTTTTTCAAAAACATTGCTGGTAATAGTTGTTTTTTTTTTTTTTCTTCAAAAATTTATTTCTGGCAATAATTTTTTTTACAAAGTATTTATGGTATTAAAACCTATTTTTACACTTTTATAATGCTTTTTACCTCGGTTTCGAGGTAAACTATTTGCCCATAGCTGGGACCCTAACAGGTGCTACCACACCGGGTCAGATTGGACCTGGGGGCACCAGCAATTAAGAGATGGTTCCACACTCCTCAAAAGCTCCTGATCAGAGGCCTTGCTGCTGGACGTAGTTTATCGTCTTACCCTGGACGCTTTAAATCTCACCTGGCTCGGTATTTTCAAATATTTCTTTTAGGTTATCTGCTTTAGTCCTTAGATCGGGTTTGTTGACTTTCGTTACAGGTTTATCAATCCGTGCAAAATCGTATATGGTTCCCGGTGTTTGAACAGGTGATAGATATGGCGATTTCTAGTACAGAAATGTTGATTTTAGAATATCTAAATTGTATTTGATCTGCATATCTCAAAATTTATTTTGCTTTCCTATTTTTAATTTGATCCTCATATTTTATATTGACAGCATGCAGCGACGTGAAAAGACACAAGAAGACAATGATAAAAAAACGCTCGCAATCAGTAAACCTTGGTGGGCTACTGGAACATCTGACCCAAAAAGATCGCGACAAAGCTGACAAAGGTAAAAAACTTTGTTTTAGTGCTTTAGATTCTCCCCACACCGGTAATTTCATATTCCGAAATCATAGGATTTTAAACGTTTATCTATTTTATAAAATTGTCACTAAAGATAAAGACGCCTTCTGAAGGAAAAAAAAAAAAATGTCATTTGTGTACGTAAACATTGATTTGGTTTGTGCCATATCAACTTCAATGGGTTATTTAATGCAACAAAAGTTTTATTGCTAGTATTTTTTTTTTTCAAAAAAAAAAAAAAAAAAAAAAAATTGCTGGTAATAATTTATTTTACAAAATATCCTAGTAGTAAAACCTATTTTTACATTTTCATAGTGTTTTGACTCCAATTTGGGGGTTAACTATTTACCTATATCTGGGTCCCTAACAGGTGTTACCACCCCGGTTCAAGATAAACCTGGGAACACCAACAATTAAGAGGTGGTTCGATGCTCTTCAAAACCTGATCAGGGGCCTTGCTATTGGACGTAGTTTTATCGTCATACCCAGGACGGACGCAAAGATGTGTAGCGTGGAATAAGAATGGCATCGACAGTCATACTCGTAATTACTAAGCACTAGAAATGATTCCAAAGACTTTTGAAAAAGTATTCAAGTATTTTACTAAATTTGATTTGTTTTACGGCTTATCAACCCTTTGTAGTTTCTTTTAAGCCGAAATATATTTTTAAATTGCGCGACAATATTATGTTAACAATTTTGAGGATAAATATAAAATTATCTAAATTTACATAAATTATAATGAGCTTTTTTCCTTAAAACAGATTATAGGACTTTTTCCAAATATGAACCGGAGCTGCTTTGGAAGCGCCCCACGGATCCGTGAAATTTTCTCATCTTTAGCGTTATTACTAGTTTCCAGGTATACCCATCTGCTCAGGCCCGTGTGTGTTTTCTTCAACGCTCCCAGTGCAAACATGTGGTTCATACTGAATGAACCTTAGTTCAAGTATTACCGCACAAAGGCCACAATCAGTTTTTAATTCCATCTCATATACTGGTTGCATGCCACGGCTACAAAGTCCAATTTACCCTGCTATTTAACCCATATTCGGGAGGAAAAGATCGATTCATACCTTTCTCAATGGTTACCCTTATCTATTAGTTAAGCCACAGAAATGACTGGATCTCTAAATATTCTAACTCTGCTGGCGGTTTTCTCAAATCCGAGTCTCAAAACTTTACACCACCTGCACATCCAGTTACCACTACGTTATTTAATACTGTACAGAAAAATTTTACTAGTTCACTTATATTGAAATGTAAGTTCTGTTTATTAGTTTGGTTTGTTTTACGGCATATCAACCCATTGGGTCATTTAATGGCGAAATTTAACATCTTTTTCTAAATAAAGACTTGTATTTAAACAGCCCAAAATATTAAGACGGCCGTTTGTTATGGTTATATTTTATTCATTATATTTCTAAAATCAGTTTAATTTCTCTTAGGAACATAGGAACCTCCTGAACAGAGAGACCTTGTTGTTGGACGTAGTTTATCGTCTTTCCCAGAACGGGATATTGGTTTGGTTTTACGGAATGTCAACCTCAATTGGTTATTTAATACTGACAAGAGTTTACAATAGATTCGTATTAATAAAATATATATTCTTTGTAAGGAAACAATTTGTAGATCCGGCTCCATTTGCGTATTTTTGTAAAGAGGGTTTTTGTTGAGAGTCTGATTTCATTGATGTGTTCTTTTCAGATACACGGATTGTAGAGAAATTGATTTTGACATTCTCATTTTGTTAAATAATATTTTAGAAGACTTATTTTTTTTAGAGAAGTGCATTTCTGCTTTGCCTTTCTCAGGTTGACCTTTGAGGTCAGGTACAAGACAAAATAAAGGAAGTCGATTTTGATTGGCTGAACTAGCGTGGGGATGATAGCTCGAGAAAGGTTTTCTGGGAGTTGGTTCTCACACATCGAACAATGTAACCGTGTTCTTTGTCGTGTCTGGAAGCAGCTTCCTAGTAGGGTGGGAGAGCTACCCCACTGGATAGTTAGAGATGTACACGGCAACGTGCTTAATAAATAGTTAAATTTCAAATTACCCTTTGAAGTTCTTTCATCTCCGAGCCAAGACGACTAGCGATCACCGGGCGAGAAAGTAAATGTGGATATAATTTCTCAAAACTCGCCCGGTGATCGCGAGTTTTGAAAAATTATATCATCCACATTTACGTTCTCGAAAAGCTCGTACATATTTATATTATAATATTTTTGTCTTGAGAAAAGAAGATCTGAGCACTCGGTTAATATATGTTTAATAATAGTATATGCTATTATTTTACATGCTTGGCATATTGGTTGATCTTTGTTTAGTAAGTACGAGTGTCTAATTCTCGTATAGCCAATGCATATGCGGGCCAGTACCATTTCTTTACGAGATTTTCTAGGAGCTGATTTCCCTTGTCCTAGTTTGGACTGGATTGTGAAGAGTTTGTGTGGGTTATCGTCCCAGTACAGTTGTCACTCCTTTTGAATGAATTTATTAACCTCCTTAAAATCTTGTCCTTGTATCCACATCCATATCTAAAGCCGGACTGGCTGCTAGATCTGCTTTCTTATTACCTTTAACTCCAATGTGGCTAGGAATCCAGCATAGTTTGATGTCTTTATGCTTGTAAAATAGTGCTTATTTTGCATAATATTTTCATAAGTGGGTTGTTGGATTTTTTTCCCTTCGAAGACAATAGAGCGGATAGTGAGTTCGAAAATAAATAGAAATTTTTTGTTTGCTCTCTGAGATAATGTTGAGAGCTAGCTTGATTGCAAAAGACACTGCAGTGAAAATAGAGCTTCCCTTTGGGAGGAACTTTTTTTTTTATTTTGTAATATCTTGACACGTCCTATCTTGTTCTCACATTTTGACCAATCTGTAAAGTTAGTAAAGTTTGCCAATATGTCCTGAAACTTATCCTAGAATGTGAATGTCATTTACTTTTACTTTCTCGAAGAGCTCTTACACGTTTATATTATAGCATTTTTGTCTTTAAAGAGCAAAATCTGAGCACTCGGTTAATATATGTTTAATAGTATATGCTATTTTACATGCTTGGCATACTGTTCGATCTTTGTTTAGTAAGTACGAGTGGCTTATTCTGGTATGGTCAATTTGTAGGCGGGCTAGTATCACTTCTTCCTTATGAGATTTTTGTATTTTAGTGAGATTGTTGGAGCTGTCTTTCAATGGTATTCATATGTCAAGAGCTGTACATAGTTAAAACTCTCAGATCAGGATGGAGATGCCTTCTATATACCGATGATTTTCTAATTATGGAGTTCATTTTAAGCAAAATAGCTTCACCGAAAGAATACTTCTTTGTTGAATTCCTTGATCTTTGAGTTCCGATAGCGTACTTCCTATACGGACATGAAACCTCCGGTTTTCAGGAGATTCCCTACGAATTGAATCCGCCTTACTTTTAGAACCAGTTCCATGCTGTATATGCTTTTCTAAGTCAAACAAAAGACTGCCGTGAGATGCTTTTTCCTTAATGAAGGCCTACCTTACAAAGGTTTCGAGGCATAGTAAGTGATCCATGGTACTTTTTTCCTAAAAACACATTGGTAGTCACTGATTTGGCCGTTAGTTTCCAAGTACTAAGTCAATTTGTTGTTGACCATTCTCTCCATAGTTTTACATAGGCACCTCGTTACTGCTATCGGTCTGTAGCTTTCAATGTGTGTGTCATCCTTTCCAGGTTTTGGAATAGGGATAATGAATGACTGCCTCCACGTATCTGGGAAGTTGCTACACAAATTTAGAAATATTTTTTGTGATTTGTTGGGCAACTATTTTATGAATCTATTTCCACAGCTGTATTGTGGACTTTAAAGATTCATTTAGTTCTTCTATAGTCAACGTTCAGAGCTATAGCCTACCATTATTTGAATTAAAGTTTAATTTTTGTTTTTCCGCTTTTTGTTTGAACTTCAGAAATTGTTGGCTACCATTCTTGACAGATGGGTTTTTGGAGATTGTTTTAGCAAAATGATCAGCAATATCTTTTTTTTTATGGTTATTTTATAGTTATTCATCGAGAGATGTTTTATAGCGTTAGAATAATGTTTACCAGCTATTTTCCTTCTCATATCCCATACAGATTTTGTTTTTGTGGTAGAATTAAGTCTACTGAAATTGTTATCCGTGCTTGAGGTTAAAGTCTGTTTGCTGAAAGCTCTTCTGAGTCTGATAGCTTCCTTACACCCATCAATTATTTTGTACTGAACTTTTTGGAATGAATTCCTTTGTAATCGATATAAGGATTTGTGTAAACTGTTTTAAGTGTTTGGTGCATTTACCTTCAGCTATTTTATCAGGACATTGGTTTTTAAATTAATTCCAGTTCGCTTCGTCTATTTTCCAGTGGAGAGGATTTTTATCATTATGTTCTGAATTTTGCAGAACAATTGGTAAGTGTCTGTCAGAACTTTCCAAGAGAAATTCATATAGATTGATGGATTACATATGGATAAATCTATTGCACAGTAGCTGTCAGTAAATCGATTTTTGTAATTTTTAAGTTTTAATGTTATAAATACATAAATCATTGTTGCTTATAATTGTTTCTAAAGTCTTTTCCTTTAGATTTATATCTTTACAGCCCCACCCCTATGGTGCTGTGACAGTTAAAATCCCCTAGTATCATAAAGGGGTGAAGGGAGTTGTATTATGATTTAATGAATTTCAGTTTCTGTTACTCGTTCATTAGGTGGGACATATATAGAGAAAATGAGGGTCACTTTAACAGCAGTTGCCTGTAAAGTAGTAGTCAAATTTATTTTACTTTGGGCGTACATCATTCCTAACTAGGATAGATGTACTCCAGATATCTTTATATCTCGTGTATGATGCAACCCCTTAAATTTAGTTTCAAAATTAGGTCTTCAAAAGTCGCAGGATACGCGAGTATATACAGAAATTTCTTTTACAAAAGTGTAATGCTGGTTTTTTTTTTGTTTTTTTTTTTTTTTTACTATCAAAATTTGTACTGGTATTTTTTACTATAAAAAATCATTTTTATACTTTCATAGTGTTTTAACCCCCGTTTAGGCGGTTAACTATGTTCTCGTAGTCGGGCCCTAACAGTTGCTAACACAGCACCCATATAGGACTAATGTAATGTTAAAAGAAAATCCTTACTTTTAACATTCCTATATATTAGGGGGTCGGCAACCCCCGGTTCGAGAAGGGTTTTTATCCGACCCGCCAACTTTAACACCTGGACACAAATTATTTGATTTGTGGAGCAAGTAGTAGAAACATATCAGTTGGAGTTAATCAACTTACAATGCGAAGAATTTTTAAAATCAAAATGTAGTTGCGAATCCACTGCCGACTTCCACAAATATGTTTTGCCAAGAGGAAAATATAAAACATTATTGAATGGTATCATTATTTGGAAGTACATATGCTTGTGAAAAACATTTTTCGAAAATGAAATATGCTAAAATCGTTTTTCGAACAAGGTTGGGTGATGACCACCTGGATGATCTTTTGCTCCTGTTGCCGACAAATATTTCACCTGATATGGATTGGTTTGGTTTGGTTTGTTGTGTTTTATGGCATATCAACCTCAATGAGTTATTTAATGCAGACAACTTTTTTTCTTCCTGGTAATATTTTGTTTTGTCAAATCTATTTCTGGTAATATCTTTTCCTCAAAATTTATAGCTGGTAATATTTTAAACATGTATTGCTGGTAATATTTTCTTTCAAAAATGTATTGCTGGTAATAGTTTTCTTATTTTTTTTTCCCCAAGATATATTGCTGGTAAAGGTTTTTATCTTCAAAATCTTATTTCTGGTAATAATTTTTTTTACAAAGTATTTCTGGTATTAAAACCTATTTTTACACTTTGATAAGGCTTTTTAGCTCGGTTTCGGGGTTAACTATTTTCCCATAGCTGGGACCCTAACAGGTGCTACCACTCCGGGTCAGGTTGGATGTGGGGACACCAGCAATTAAGAGGTGGTTCTACGCTCCTCAAAACCTGATCAGAGGCCTTGCTGTTGGATGTAGTTTATCGTCATACCCAGGACGGACATGGAGAAGTTATCGAACTATAAGCAGAAACAAGTGTCCCATTAAATAATTTGCCATTTTTTAACTGTATTATTTCATTTGTAGTAAGGAATTTCGATTTTTTTTTTTTGCTGATTATGTTATCCTGTTATCCCTGCAGTAAAATAAGGAAACTTGTTTAAATAAAATAACATTAACTTTGTTTTTTATTTAAACCTCCAGACCAAGGCAGTTTGCTGGACGTAGCGGTCAAGGGTCAAGATAATTTAGTATAGTAAATTTGATATCATGGCCCTCCAAGACACTGCATAGCTTTTTGGCCCTCTAACTCCAAAAGGTTGCCGACTCCTGCTCTATATTATAGCTCACTTTAAGTGAGCAATTTTTCTTTGCTAGCTTTGCCGGGTCGTTCTTCGCGTACAATTTTTAACCTCTTGTTTTTGTTTTCGATTTTACTATCTAGATGAACCTCAGCCAATGGGACTGGTGTTTGGAATTCCCCTAACCAGATGCATTGCCAATGATAATGAACTCCGGAAACGAAGACAACAGAACTCTGCAGAAAATGTTGACCAGCATAAACACCGGTAAGTAGAAACATTGACAGTTTGTTTGACTTTACGATTTTACGCAATTGTTCACCATTACAAGTCCGAAGAGCCACTCCAGGTAGAGGGTTACTGAATAAGGTTATTGGATGATCATAAGTGCAGATTAGGATAAATAATTGTTGACCCTAAACTTGAAGATTATAGTGACCAAGGTGGGGGCATCCTCGTGGAATTTTATTCCACAAATCAGGGAAAGAAGCTTTCCAAATTGAAATTCCTCCTTACCAATGGAATACAAAAGAAATTAAAATGATCCGCCGCCATGACATGATTGGTCTTAGTTGAGAATTTTTATTAAAATAATAACGGGTTAGTGATAGGAACGCGAAATTTCGTCTGTGAAAAAATGGACTGTTTTTGTTTTACGGCATATCAACCTCAATGGGTCATTTAATGCCGACAACTTTTTTCCTGGTAATATTTTTGTTTTGTCAAAAAGTTTTTTCCTCAAAATTGTATAGCTGGTAATAGTTTTTTTTTTTTTTTTTTTTTTTTTTTTTACAAAGTATTTCTGCTATTAAAACCTATTTTTACATTTTCATAATGCTTTTTTTACCTCAGTTTCAGGGTTAACTATTTGGCAATAGCTGGGACCCTAACAGGTGCTACCACCCCGGGTCAGGGTGGACCTGGGAACACCAGCAATTAAAAGGTGGTTCCACGCTCCTCAAAGCTGATGTTGGACGTAGTTTATAGTCTTACCCTGGACGCGGATGAGGTTTATCGTCAGGACGGGTGCAGATTAGGATAGATAATTGTTGACCCTAGACTTGAAGATTAAAGTGACCAGGATGTGGGGCATCCCCATGGAATTGCATTCCACAAATCAGGTTCTCTTGGAAATAACCTCCTCATTACCAATGGAATACAGAAGAAATTAAAATGAACCCTTCCCCCATGTGCATGGCATGACTGGTCTTAGCTGAGAATGTCTAAACTGTAGCTCATCAAAATATTTTTAATTAAAATAATGACAGATTAGCGATAGGAACGCGAAATTTCGTCTGTGGGAAATGGGCTGTATTTTTTTTTGTTTTTACAGTAAGGTTCATCCTGTACAAGGCCCGGGATCCATTCGAGGTAGAAGGTTACGTTCCGGGGTAGTTTCTAAGGATAGGAGGGGAAGACAACGGTTAACTCTAGATTTGAACAGATTAAGATTGTAGCAATCGGGTAAACATCTTGCGGGTCTGTTCCACAAAACAGTGGTTCGTGGGAAGAAGCTGTTCGAGTGGAACTTACTTCTCACCGACGGAATACGGAGGGAATGTCGATGGTTTGCTATAATATAAGTAGTAAGGCGGGTCCTGGTTGTGAAAGTTAGACCTGGCGGAACCAAGGAATGTGGTTCATCCGAACACTTTTCATGGAAAGTAGTGATAGAGCAGTGAGAGGGTGGTCACATCCCACCTGTGAGAGAGAGAGAGGTTGGAAAATGATTAGTCACCCACAAGGACTCGGAGACGCTTTTGGACTATCGAAAGTGGGGATTCGGCAGTTCCCGTCCAAATATGACAACGGTATAATCCATTAAATTGTTATGGTTTGAAAGGAGCACCAGTCCAGACATAGCAGCAATAGTCCATTTTTGGTCTGATCTGACTCTGGTAAAAGATAGTAAATGGCATCAGCCATACACTATCTAGAACGATACATGAAACTGACCCTTTTACCAACATCTCTAACAATAGATTGGATATATGATTTTGTTTTCCAGCCAAAAATGTAAAAGGCATGTCAATCGTAATCTGTCTTCTAGATTCCTCTTTTATAGTTCTCTCTCGTGTTTTTCACACTGAGTAATCCTTTGTGTCTTAGTGGCTTTATTGCCTTTGCTCGGGGGTGAAGTGATTAAATAAAAATTATATCACTTTTCACGTTTCTTATATTTCACAGCTAATTTAATTTGGTTTGGCTTGTTTTACGGCATATCAACCTTATTAATGGGTTATTTAATGCTGACAAGATTTTTTATTGCTGGCAATATTTTTTTTTCAAGAGTGTATTGATGGTAAATATATTTTTACACTTTCATAATATTTTGACCTAGTTTTTTTTTTTTGGTGGGGGGTAACTATTTGCCCATAACTTGGACCCTAACAGGTTCTACCACCGCGATTCACGGTGGACCTCAGAACAACAGAAATTAAGGTGTTTCCACGCTCCTCAAAACCACCTGATCAGAGGCCCTGCTGTTGGATGTAGTTTATCGTCTTACCCAGAACGCCTCATTTTTTTTTGGCCGGGAGGGGGAGTATTACCCCTCTGCACAGGTGCAGTCGGCGTATTCTGAAGGCCCTGCCGACAGGTAATATGCTTCAAAATTGAATTAAGTTTTAATAATGATTTCTTATGGTTAAGAATTTGTAATTTTTCCACAGTTTTTGTGTCTTTAATAAGTATTTGTCAGGCATGACACCAAACAGACGCGGTTGAAAAAAAAGCACCTCCATAAATAAGATATGCAAGCACACGTAAAAAGCAATTATATATGTAACAGACAGACTAATGTTGTTTCGCTTGAATTATACATTTTACGTTCTTATTCTTTGCAGCAATCAAAGTTCGTCATCTCACGGTTCAACAGAAAATCTTCCGCGACAAAATGGAAACCCTTCCCATTCCGGTAATACAGCCAACAATCGTTCTGTAAGTGGTAAAAATCATTTTCCTTCCCAAATACATTAGCAAACATTCACTAAGATTGATTGGTTGTTTTATGGTATATCAACCTCGGTGGGTCATTTAATGCCAACAAAATTTTGAAATAGATTCATGGCTATAGTTTGGTTAAAAAAAAAAATAAAATAAAAAGTGTATATGTATACATATATATTTCAACAATTTTTCAATTATTTTCAAAAATATTGCTGGTGATATTTTTTCTTCAAAAATTTATTGATGGAAATATATTTTTTTTTACATTTTCATAGTGTTTTGACCCTAGTTTCGGGGTTAAGTATTTGCCCATAGTTGGGACCCTAACAGGTACTATCACCCAGATCAGGGTGAACCTGTTAATACCAGCGATTAAGGAGGTGGTTTCAAGTTCCTGAAAACCTTATCAGAGGCCTTGCTGTTGGATGTAGTTCATAGTCTTGCCCAGGACGCAGTACAATTCTTGTAAATAACATAGCATGAAATAAAATAGGGCTTGGAAATTCTATATTCAAAATAGATTGAAGGCAAGAGGGACACAGGAAAACAACGCATAATCTATTTAGTGGGTTTCAGTAAATGAATGGCAGAACAGGGTTTAGGAGAGATAACAAAAAGAAATGATAATGAGCTGCGAAGGATAGGAAATTGTAGGGATCAAGAAGATCGCCAACGTCCTGAGTAGGGACACGGTACATAGAACAAGTAATTTGGTTTGGTTTACGACATATCAAGCTCAATGAGTTATTTAATACCGACAATTTTTTTTTTACTTTTTTCCAAAAATTGTATTGCTAGTATTAGGTTAGTGCAAAAATAATGACGTTAACTTGCACGTCAAAAAACGACATTTTTGCACCAACCTAATTTTTTTTTCTTTCAAAAATCTAATGCTGGTAATAATTTTTTTAACAAAGTATCTCTGGTATTAAAACCTATTTTTACACTTAGTGTTTTGACCTCAGTTTGGGGGGGATTAACTATTTGCCCATAGCTGAGACCCTAACAGATACTACCATTCCGGGTTAGGGTGGACCTGGGAATACCAGCAATTCAGAGGTGGTTCCACGCTCCTCAAAACCTCCTGATCAGAAGGAACATGTCGTAAACGTTTGTGACAAGCGCCGAATATTATATGCCTTGACGACAAAAAAAGGCAAGTGGGGACATTTCGATGTCGTGTAATGGCCAGCGAGCTAGTCTGGTTGACAATTGCTACGGAATATGAAGCTTGATTGTTGCTCCATATTGGTGACCTTTTGCCTTACTAAGTTAAATCAAATGACGATAAATTTAACTGGATGTCCCAATTCGGCTTTTACCTGCATACAGATAAGAAAATTAAATGGTGGATGCATCAGGTATAACAAAACCAATGAACTTAACTGGTATGGAATCGGGGAAAATAGTATATTTGTATTACTCATAACCCATTGGCCTTAGCCTCACGTTTTCCACTGGCATGGAGTGGACCGACTATCGAATCAAATACTATGTTTGCAATGAAAGTTGGTTCATGGTGTTGTGCCAAACAATTTTCTCGCCAGAGTCCATCTTGCACATTTACAAATCTACCATTCGTCCATGCATTGAATACTTTTAGCATATCTGGTTTGGTGCCCTTGCTATTCATTTCAAAGTTCTTGACAAAATCTAAAGAAGGATCTGCAATGTAATCGATCCTGATTTGGCATTTCGACTGCAGTCACTTTCTCGCCGACGTGACGCAAATTCCTTCTGTCTTTTCTACAAATATTTTTGAGGCAATACCCTCCTTCCCGGGTGTCCCGACTACATGAATTTAAGCGTGCTACTAGATTGGCATCTAGGTCCCACACATTTATTGCTGAAATAATTACATGTAACCGCCACTTCTACTTCGAAAAAAAAAAAAAAAATAATATCACAAAAGAGTTCATTAAATGCGTATTTCAATTTTCAATAAACAAAATTCTATAAATATTTTACAGATTTTATTCTCATTGCACATTTATGTACAAATGCTTACATTTTATTTGATATTTAATTTTTGCATTTGAATTTTTTAAATGAGTTCTTGCCTTCAATTTTCCATGTGGTCGTCCAATTTAACGTGTTAATGTCTTTACAAAGTGTTTTTTTTTTTTACACGCGTCTTTGTCATAGTCATGACTACCAGATCAATGAAATTCAATGTTTTGTATATGATGTTCACCCAAAACAATGCTCAAGAATCACTCAAGGTAGAGGGTTACTGAAAGGCGTGCTATATGAATGCAAGCGTAGGAAATGAAGATAAGAATATGGAGGATAGATAACGACTGATCCTTGACTTTAAAAGGTTTAAATTCTCGCATTCTGGGAAGCATCCTCATGAGAATCAAAGCAAGTGTTCTTGAGGTAAAAAGGAAAAAAAATGCCGTGGAACTTCTTCCTGTAAAGGGAAATGCGCTATGTCGATAACTTAATTCCCTTTTCGAAGATGCTCAAGGCATGATCTAAAAAAGATTTAATTGCGGTGTGAGGCAGTGTAAGAGTAAAATAACCACTTGGATAAAATTAAGATCTCAAAAGTTGGGAAAGTTAAAAAGTCAAGTTATCGTCATACCCATATTAGGGTGGACCTGAGAACACCAGCAATTAAGGGGTTGTACCACGCTCCTCAAAACCTACCGATCAGAAGTCTTGTTGCCGGATGTAGTTTATCGTCTTACTCAGGACGGTACCTGCGCATGTCAATCCTACATAAATGTTGGACTTGTTCTTATAGAAGATAAAACGTACTGGAAAGGTCTTCCATTTTTTTTTTTCATTCATTGTCTTCTTCGCACTGCAATCCAGTCCGTGTTTAAAAAATAAAAGTGGGCGACCGACAATGACAGTTCACATTTTCGAACGTTTTCCTATTAAAAAGGAGTGTACTGTAATTCATCGGAGTGTTTTTTTGTTTTGTTTTTTTTTTTTTTCTCTCTTTCTCCCTGATTTAGGAGTGGTCCTCTTACAATGGAGCTTTATTTTTTTTTTCTCTCGGAAGTTTTCCACTTTACAAAGATTCTTAACCTAAATCTACATCATTGCAATCTAGGATTTCCTTTAAATTCCCCCTCCCACGCAACGAAAAACGAGAGTTCAGATGGGAAAATTATTTTTAAAGGATATATTAAATGAGACAAGATTTTATACAGTGAGCTCGACATTAAGAAATATATGCGAAAATTTGGCGTACAACTGATGTCACAAAATTAGATGAATTTTATGATTTTAAATGCCGTAAATTGTTTGATACATTTAATAAGACATTATGCAAATTTTGTTTACAAAATATATCTTCCTTAGGTTGAAAATTTGTTTTACGGTTTATCAACTCATTGGGTTATTTAAAGGGGTAACATTTTAATTATACAAGAATTCTTTTCCGATTCTTTTGTATTAAAGACTTTGGGAATAAGTACAAATTATATAACGCTGATTTTCCAGATACAACTTGCATAAGGATTTTGGTTGGTTGTTTTATGGCATATCAACCTCAGTGGGTCATTTAATGCCAGCAAAATTTTGAAAGATTCATAGTAATAGTTTAGTAAAAGAAAAAAAAAATATATATATATATATATATATATATATTTTGAACCATATTTCAATTACTCATATTTTTGAGTACAATAACGTATTGCTGGTAATATATTTTTCTTCAAAAATTTATTGCTGGTAATATTTTTTTTCTTTTTTACAAAGAATTTCTGGTATTAAAACCTATTATACACTTTCATAGTGTTTTGACTCCCAGTTTATGGAGTTAACTATTTGTCCATAGCTGGGACCCTAACAGGTGCTGTCGCCCGGGTCAGGGTGGACCTGGGAACACCAGCAATTAAGAGGTGGTTCCATGCTTCTCAAAACCTCCTGATCAGACGCCTTGCTGTTGGATGTAGTTTATCGTCATACCCAGGACTGGTACGTAGTTGTGTTGGGTTGCATGGAAATTGATGATAGAACAAAATTGGTCAAAGTTGATAGAAATCTAAACAGCGATAACGATATTTCTGTGCTCCTTTCCGCATCACTTGCAACAAAAACATTTTCGATACACAAAGTATGGTTCTCAGCAAATATTCCAATGAAAACCGCAGAATTTCCAAGAGTTTTGAGATGACTGCCAAGAAGGAAATGGAAAAAATTCCCAATGGCAAAGTCTGAAACGTGTTCCATTCAACCTCGCGACGAATTTAGATTTGGTTTTGGTTTGTTTAACGGCGTATAAACACCTTTATGGGTCATTTAATACTGAAAATGTTTACTATAAAAATTTAATTTTATACTTTCCCAGTGTTTTGATCGCAGCTTAGGGGGTTCACTATTTGCCGATAGCTGGGACCCTAACTGGTGCTGCTACCCTGGATCAGTGTGGCCCTGGTTTGACTTGTGTTGTTGTACGGCATATCAATCTCAATGGTTTATTTAATACCGAAAATATTTTTACGATAGATGCGTATGAATGTTTTCATTGTAAGAATCATTTTGTAGATCAGGTTTCATTGACGTAAAAAGTGTTTTTTGTAAAGAGTCAAATGTATTGAGTTGGTATTTTTACTATAATTTTTTTTTATACCTTCATTGTGTTTTGACCCCTGTTTGGAGGTTTGGGACCCTAACATTTGCTACCACCCCAGGGACAGGGTGGACCTGGGAACAACAAAACCTTCTGATCAGAGGCCTTGCTATTGGACGTGGTTTATCGTCTTACTCGGGACACGGATGTATTTTATAGTCTTACCCAGAACGGGACCTTGCAAGATCTCGAACGAATACTTACTATAAGACAAAATATGAATCTTGGAGCAAAATCACCAAAAGAAGAATATTCATTTACCTGGGACATGGAATGAGACTTCCTAAAGAAACACCAATGAGAAAATCCTCAGAATTGGTTGAGGATTGTTTGTTTTTTAACGGGTATAAACCCATTATGGCTCATTTCTTGGGAGCTTTGGTATTTATTTTTTTACTCTGAA